CCAGCCTTCTGGTTAGCAGTCAAGTGCCTTAGCCACTATGCTACCAGAGCTCCCATTGTTATTCATAGTTTGTCTTTTTAAGAAAAGACATGTAGTTGATTGTCTAGATTCTTTCCAGAAGAATTAAAAATATGAAGTATGGGCAAGAAACAATGATATGAAATATTGTAAATAGGAAAAAACACAAAACCAACCTACTGCCATTGAATTGATTCTGAGTTGTAGCAACCCAATAGAACAAGGTAGAACTGCTCCCCACAGGATTTCCAAGACTGTAAATCTTCACGGAAGCAGACTGCTTCATCTTTCTTCCACAGAGTGGCTGGTGGGTTTGAATCGCTGACTTTTCGGTTAGCAGCCAAGTGCCTTAACCACTGCACCAGCAGAACTCCTTGGGTATAAGAGAGGAAGGGTGGGAATGTTAACTTATTATTTCAATTCAATCTTATTTTGGTCAAACCAATGGAGAAATTTCGGTATTATATTACTTTCCCAGGGCTGCCATATCAGATTATCACAACAACCAAAGAAGAAAAGAAAATTAAAAACCAAACTCACTGCCTTGGAGTCGGATCCGACTCATAGCAACCCCTCCCTGAGTTTCCAAGACGGTATTACTACAGAAGTAGATTGCCCCATCTTCCCTCCGAGAAGTGGCTGGTGGGTTTGAACCGCCAGCCTCTGGTTAGCAGTCAGATGCCACCAGAAAAACAAAAATTTATTCTCTCACAATTCTAGAGGCCAGAAGTCCTAAATCAAGACTATGCCCCAGACTGTGCTCCCTCCAAAAGCTCCTCTAGAGAATCTTTCCTTTTGTTTTCCAGCTGCTGGTGACTCCAGGTATTCTTTGGCTTGCGGATGCGTAACACCAATCTCTGCCTTCATCTTCACAGGGCCTTCTTGTCTTCTCTTTGTCTCCTCTGTGTGTTTCTTATAAGGATATTTGTCATTAGATTTAAGGCACACCTGGATAATCTAAAATAATCTCATCTCAAGATCTTTGTTGTTGTTGTTGTTATTTGCCGTCCAGTCGACCCCAACTCACAGTGACCCCTTCTCCTTGGGTTTCCAAGGCAGTATCACTATGGAAGTAGATTGCCCAACCTTCCTTCCGAGGAGTGGCTGGTGGGTTTGAACCGCCAGCCTTCCGGTTAGCAGTCAAGTGCCTTAGGCACTATGCTACCTATCTTTTCCAAATAAAGTCACATTCACAGGTTCCAGTGGTTAGGACATGGAAATGGACACGGACCATCATTCAACCCACTACAGATATGCTACTCCCTTCACTTATGTATAAAGCAAATTGTTGCAATTCAAACTGTAAAATTTCTACCTGTGTGGAATCACTTTCTAGAATTGGACAGGTTTAAAATATATGCCATATCACCAGTACTATATTTACCCTTAAAATTGTGATGACGTTTAAAAAAGGAAGCAAGGGTAAGCTGTCAATAACATTGTTCTCTATTGATTTATACTCCTTCCTATGGTAATTTTACATCTTAAGAACACTAGAAGCCAAAAAGATAATAGGAGTAATAAGAATGGTGGCACTTTGGTTAAAACATTGGGCTGCTAACCAGAAGGTCAGCAATTCAAACCCACCAGCTGCTCAGCAGGAGAAAGATCAGGCAGTCTGCTTCCATAAAGATTTACAGTCTTGGAAACCCTGTGGTGCAGTTCTACTCTGTCCTATAGGGTTGCTGTGAATCAGAATCCTTCAATGACAAGGGGTTTTTGTTTATCAGACAATGGCTTCAGCATCCTCATGAAAGTTCTATGAGATATATAATTTTTTTCTATATTTTAGTAGTAAGGAAATCAAGCTAAAATATTATAAATAAATTATAAACTCACAATTTATAAGGGACAGATTCAGGATTTGATCCCAGGCAGTCTGAATAATCTGTGTTCTTAAGCACTAGGTAAGACTGCCTTAAGTATTGGAGGCAATAAAAGTCAAAGCAGGACACATCTTAATCTGTCAGTTAAATTATCAATCCTTGTGCATGCCAGCATTTGATTTCAATAAATATACTTTATTTATCTCTATGTTCTCATCATTCTCCTCTATATGGTATTTGTTACGTAACCATTTTTAAAGAAAAGGAAAGGACCCTAAAGCTGAGCACATCTAATGAGAATGTTCTCTGCAACATTATTCTGTGAGGTACACAATGACCTTGCCAAGTATTTTATCACCGTACCTTGATGCCTAGCCCCAGATTTGCTCATCATGTGGACTGAGTCACAGCATGAGGCTGCTAGTCCCAATGCTGAATCTAAACATGTGAACTTGGCCATTCTCAGGCTTAACTCTCCTGACCTATTAAATGAGAGACTTTGAGTAGATAATCTCTGAGGTCGTTTCCAGCTCTATAATTAGGTATTATTTGCCTCTAAGTGACGAAAAACTAAAGACATTCCTGCACTGATCTTTGTATGTAATCAGCTGACATTCTGATTTAAGATGTCAGACTATCCTTATGCTATTGCTGATTTGATTATGGTTAGAGGCTGATGTGTCTCTAGTGTGCATAGTTACAACTGACATTGATGGGTATAAAGCAATTCAGGAGCTTATTAAATCCAGCCACAGAATTTTAATGTCCTGGGTTCCCTTCAGTGTTCACATAAACTACAAATCACTCTCATTTTGAAATCTGACCTTCCTCTGCCTGAGTAAAGTCCCCTGAATTTCAAAGTCATCTGTGTTTCCACACTTTCCTAATACTATTTCAGCCTGTATCACCTTCCAGGAGCCCAGCTCTAAATAAAGCTTATTGGGTGTTTGTTTTAAGGTGAACTCAAGCAAACCTATTATTGAAAATCTGGTTCCTGGTGCCCAGTACCAGGTTGTGATATACCTAAGAAAAGGCCCTTTGATTGGACCACCTTCAGATCCTGTGACATTTGCCATTGGTAAGTTTCCAGTCACAAGAATAATAACTTATCTTTATCAGTTTATCAGCTGAAGGACTGCAACGGGCAAGCTCAAATTATCATGATCACATATGGAAGGCCCATACTAGTTCACTCAATATTCTCCTTCAGAGTAATCAATGTCTAGATTGTGGAGATAGAGAACATCCTCAGCATTTATTTATTCCTCAGGGAAGAAAATCAGAGACAAATATATTTAGTTTAATTTTCAATCATCATATCACAACAGTATGTTTGAAGCCATTACTTAGATATTAAGCACTCCTTCTTGGATTTCTTTTTCCACTCTCCCCTTTCCTCTTTAGTTCCCACCGGAATAAAGGATTTAATGCTCTATCCCTTGGGCCCTACAGCAGTGGTTCTGAGCTGGAACAGACCTTACTTAGGAGTGTTCCGAAAATATATAGTTGAAATGTTTTATTTCAACCCTGCAACGATGACATCAGAGTGGACAACCTACTATGAAATAGCAGCGACTGTCTCCCTAACTGCATCAGTGGTAATCGTCCCTTAACCAGCTGTCACACTTCCCTGTGTGAACAGATGGGCCTTTATGTAGCAAATGGGTTAGAAAAAAGTTACTGTAAATTAGATCGATTTTAAAATGCACACAGGTAACTTGCTGCTTTCAAGGACTTTTGGTGGTGTTTGTTTTGTGGTTTTGTTTTTATTTTTGAAAGAAGAAATTTTTTGAAGCTATCTTTCATAGTAATTGACTTTATTTGCTAATCTACATTTTTTCCCCCTAATGAGTTTGCTTAAGGAACAGTAGAACTATCAACTGCTTACGTTTCTCTCCTGAGGAGGAAAGCATAATATGTTCTTTAGCCATTCAAAAATTAGGTGACAGTTCCTAATTCTAATGATGACTATTCTTGACATTTATAAATCTGTTAAATACCTACCTATGATATCACCTCAGAAACCCAAGGACGGGTCGCTATGAGTTGAAAACAACTCAACGGCCGTGAGTTTGTTTTTGTTTTTCAATACCAGGCCATTCCAGGATGGTTTTAAGAGAACAGGTAAAAATTGCTCTTTTAAGATTGGAATAATTTTTAAAGCACAGGTTACCTACAGGTCATGCATAAAGTACAGAATTTCCTTTACCTGGTTGGCAGCTCTGATAATTGCCACTCAATAAGGACTCTACTTCTGGTCCAGGTTGGGAGAATACAGAGTTGTAAGGGGTTCTTTGTCTTATAATATTGTCAGATCACTTACAAATAAGTACTACTTAACTTATATAATATACTTAGGAAATTGCAAAATGAAACTAATATTGGAAATATTTAACCCTATACTTCTTAGTCACCTTCAAAATTTATATTTTAGTATTTCATTTTATTTATGCCTTACCTTATTCCAGAAAGAATTTTTTATTTTATAAAATTTGGGAAATGCATAAAGGCACAGAAAGAAAAATAAAAATTACTTATTAGTTTTTCATGACCTAGGACAAATTACTTTATTCCAAAAAAATTATTTTCCTTTTTAGTCTTTTGTCTTCTTACTTTCTTTCTCATTCATTCAGAGAATAGCTAATCTGTTGCCAGCATGGTACTACAACTTCCGTGTTACCATGGTGACATGGGGAGACCCAGAATTGAGCTGCTGTGACAGTTCCACCATAAGCTTCATAACAGGTGAGTGGTGTGTGGGAGGAAGTTCTAAGATCAAGGGAATATTGTTTTAAGGAAGAACTGAGAGGACCCATCTGCAGAAAGCGTCAGCCATTGAGTGTCACTTGATGAATCTAGCACTGATTGAGCACCAATTTCAAGGAAGATAATGTGACTGATTCTGATAATTCATCATGTATTTAGAGGATCATCTTTAAAAATTGATACATAATATTTTTCTCTGAGCTACTGCCCTTGACTTATTTTTATTCCGAGTCACTACCCTTGACTCCTGTCCCATGTTTGGAATCAATTTAGGATAGAGATATAGCAGGCAGAGCCCTCAGCTTTACACTGCACACTCAACTGATTTTCCCCATTGATGATTATATTTGCCAGAGTGCCTCCATTTCCTTATTAATTATGTCATTTTTAAAGTCACAGGGTGACTGCAATATTGACAAACGCAGGTACTTAAAAAGGCTTAGGAAACAGAATAGGGTTTGAACCATGGCTCTGCTGCATGCTACATGTAACCTTGAGCATGTTAACTTTCTTAAGTCTCTTTTTTCCTTTGTAAAATATGAATGATAACCACATCAATTCTCTATTGTTGTTGTTGTTAGATGCTGTCAAGTTGGTTTAGACTCACAGCAACCTTGTGTATAACAGAATGAAGCATTGCCCAGTCCTATGCCATCCTCACAATCATTTCTATGCTTGAGCCCATCATTGTAGCCACTGTGCCAATCCATCTCGTTAAGGGTCTTCCTCTATTATCTATTCAGCTCATTGCCATGCAGTTAATTCAGAATCATAGTGACCTCCCATTGGGTTTCCAAGGCTGTAAATCTTCACGGAAGCAGCATGCCTCATCTTTCTTCAGCAGAACAGCTGGTAGGTTCAAACCACCAACCCTCTGTTTAGCAGCCAAAAATGCCTTAACCACTACACCACCAGAGCTCCTTCTCTTATCTGTTGTTGTTGTTATTTGCTGCCGAGTCGGCCCAGACTCATAGCGACGCTTCCTTGGGTTTCCAAGGCAGTATCACTACGGAAGTAGGATTGCCCAACATTCCTTCCAAGGAATGGCTGGTGGGTTTGAACCGTCAGCCTTCTGGTTAGCAGTCAAGTACCTGAGGCACTATGCTACCAGAGCTCCTTAGCTAATCTCTATTATTGCTTCACAATTAAAGAGCTAATTGGCAAAATATGGCACAATGTTTATGTACTCAAAAATTGTTAGCCTTGGAGACTCAGGTCCTTAAATTGTGCACTTGCAACAAACAACAGCAGTCAGAGATAATGACTAAAAGGGGGGATTCGTCAAAGAAACACTAATCCTCCTTGTTTGAACTAAGATTTTTCAAGAAATTTTGATTGGACTGCAAGACTGTGGTTAGAGTTGCACTGAGAAAAGAGGAGGAAAATTGTTTAAATGATGAAGAATAACTTGGAAAAATATTTTTCTCTTTGGACATCAAATTTTACTCAGTTTTAATTATCAGTAAAAAAAGAAAGGGATTAATAACATGTGAATTCTTATACAATCAACTTACATATTATGTCACTTTTCTTGAATAGCCCAATATCTAGACCTTTCTTTTAGTCTAGATGTTAATAATAATATTGGAGTAGAAAAGTGAAAGAATACCAAAAAAAAAAGAGAGAGAGAGAGAATGAATGAATATGCCAATTATGTATAAAGCACCGTCTTAAGCTCTTGGCTATATCATTAATTACATAATTATAATTAAACTTCACTGTATCAATAATTCACACCATTATTCAGATTAACTTTCTGAGAACACTCTTTCCCTCCCTGTTGGGATAGCTAGGGATTCCTGGAAAAAGCCCAGATCCAGCATCTCAACCTTTGATTGAGAAGAGCTGGCTCTGCCACAAGAAGCTCTAGTGGAATAGTGGTTAAAGCATTTGGCTGCTAACCAAAGGGTTGGTGGCTTGCTACCAATGCCAACCACTCAGGAAAGGATCAAATCTGGAGATCCTGGATAAAGTGGGAGGGAAAATGTACAACAAAGTCCAAAGACTCAATAATGACCAGAATTACTGGTCAGATGAAATCTGGTGAGACCCCCAATACTATGGTCCTAGAATACATTTTGTACCTGGAATGAAACGCAGCCCTCATGGGGGGTGGGGGGGACTCTCAGCCCAATAGTTAACAAGATGTACATGCAGACCACTCAACCCAGGATGATGCACCCACATATGGTATGGGAATACATCCCTTAGAACAACAGACCATGGGACACCAGAGGACTAACAGTCAAACTGAGGAAGTGCAGGGCAAACAGGAATGCATAAATATGAGGGTCACAGGGAAGGTAGGGAGGAGAGGAGACTGGGTTAGGGTTGGACATGGTGAATGGGGAATGAAACTTTATGTACACATTACAATGAATGTAAAACAAGCTCTTAAAATTAGAAGAAAAGAGAAGGTTGGTGGCTTGAACCTAGCAACCACTCTGTGGAAGAAGGATGAGGGGGGCACTATGAGTTGAAATCAACTCACAGTGGGATAGAATAGGAGTTGGATTTTGTTTATTTTTTGGCTCTGCTATATTTGAGCTGTAGAACTTTGAACAAATCTTATTGACCAGAGCTTCTATTTTCTTATCAATAGAGCCACTAAGATAATATTATCTGATAACTGGTTAGTAAAGTAAAACTGAATGTGTTAGAACATGCTGTGGAAAGGGAGAATACCAACTTGGTGGATTCTTTGCAGTGCCTCAGAAAAGAATATCAGAAATGAAATATTATTTAATAAGGTTGTGGGGTTCTGGTCTTTCAAGGCAGGAAACTAATTGGAATTGGCAAAATGATATAATAGTATAAGTAGAAAAAGTGAGTTTGGATAAGTAAAAACTGATTAACATGCATGCTATTTGCCTAGGTGAACAGTCCATTGCCTCCAAGAAATTAATCTCTGAAAATTTAGTTTTTCTTGGAACAGACAACTAATCTAAAATCTTATCTAAGCATTCTGCCACAGACTCAACTCCCACATCAATAAAATGGGTACAATAATACTTCATAGTCTAAAAGTTAAATTATGTAAGTCACTATTCAAATATATATAGTAGCTGATTTTTTATACTTTTTAAAACTGAATTCTAGTGTTTGGTTTTTGCCTTGTTTTGTTTTGCTTCATTACAACTTTTTAAAACAAATAGGATTGATTTTTTTCATGACTTATTCTCCTTTGACTGAATTTTAATCTAAACTGCCAATTTGAATGGGAAACTGTGATTCCTTTGACTTTGTCTGCAAGTTCCTAGTAATTATGTTGTTGTTGTTATGTGCCATCGAGTCAGACTGACTCATAGCGACCCCCCCTCCTTGGGTTTCCAAGGCAGTATCACTATGGAAATAGATTGCCCAACCTTCCTTCCAAGGAGTGAGTGGCCAGAAGACTGATTATGTTAGTGTACCAAATAATAATTAATAAACCAATAGTGACATCTTGTGGCCTTTCAGTAACATACTAGATTTTAAAGCAACAACATGGAATATAAACATCTGAAGATCTAGTCCAGCTACTTGGATTATGCATAGGTACTGAAACAAGGCGGGCTTGTGCTTACTCACTGATCTGCACTGAACACTTTCCCTTGTTACCCTCCCGAGAGGGACCGGGTCT